AAATAAGATCTTAAAGAAAAAAGATAAATGTCACAAAAACTCAGTCTGCGGGAAGGAATCCTAAGCTCTTGGGGCAGAGAGAATGGTCAAGGAAGCCTTCCCAGAGGAAGGGCTGCTAGAGCTGGTTAGGGAAGAGGCCCAGCCTTAGCACAGTTGAGCCACCAGGGCCTGCACCTGGGGTCAGAACCCATGTCTCCTGGCTCAGTTCTGCTTCTTGCCTTTACATAGCTGTGCTGTCCAGGTTTCTAGCCAGTCATTATAAATTTTCTTTCTCTCTTTGGCTCTCTGGAACTTTCACCAAAAACACTTCTGCCTCACACAAATCTCTAGTTCAACTGTCTAAACTGGATTCAGCCAAACAGCTCTGCTTTAGGTTGAGGCTGGGCTGGGCTGCTATGTTATCGGACTCCCGTTTGTTCCCTGTGGTTCCTTCTGAGACCTGTGCTGAAGTTGGAGCAGCTGCCCAGGGTTGTTGGAGCACAAGAGGCCAAATGAAATCACACAAGCAAAGAAATAGTTGAAGAAATAAAGGTTGGGAATTTTCTAAAATTAAGGACAGACAGCCATAGATCCGAGAACACCAAACAAAATATACGTATACACATACTAGGCCTATCCAAAATGCTAAAACAACAAAAAATGCTAAAACAATCTTAAAAGACCAGCCCAGAGAAAAAATGACCTACAGAGGAAGCAAAAAATTATCAAATGATGCAAACCAGAAGACAGTGGAGTGACCAGCACTGAAAGAAGAAAACCTGTCAACCCAGAGTCCCACACCCAGTGAAAATATCTTTGAAAATGAAGGGGAAATGAAGTCTTTAGAAGAAAAAGAAAAACTGAGGGAATACATTGCCAGAAGACATCTGTTTCAACTAGAAATATTTAACGGAAGTTCTTTAGGCAGAAGGAATGTGAAACCAGACAGAAATGTGGGTCTACAATGAAATTAAGAGTGCTGCAAATGGAATAAATGGAAGTAGAATTTAAAACTTAATTGCTTTAAAATAAGTCTACAGAGGTCAGCAAATCTTCTGTAAAGGAGCAGGTAAATAATTTTTAAGTTTCGCATGTCCTATGATCTCTGTTGTAAGCACTCAACTGCTGTGGAACAAAATCAGTCTTAGGCAATAGGTGTATCAGCATGGCTGTGTCCAATAAAACTTTATGGACTCTTAAGATTTGAATTTCACATAATTTTTATGTGCTACAAGTTACTCTTTTGGCCTTTCCCCCCCCAATCATTTAAAATTGTTAAAGCCATTCTTGGCTCATGAGCCATCCTTTAGATTGTGTAATTATAGCATATGTAAAAATAAAAAATATGTATACAGGGAATGGTGGTATATCTGTACAATGAAATACTGAGCAATAAAAGGAATACACTTGTACATGCATTAACGTGGATTAATTTTAAAATAATTACGCTGAGTGAAAGCCAGACAAAAAGCCTACATACTGTTTGAGTCCGTCCATATAAAATTCTAGAAAATGCAAACTAATCGCTGGTGACAGAATGTAGTTAAGTTGTTCTCTACAAGTGCAGGGTGGGGATTGGGGGTGGGAGAAGAAGAGAAGGGATTTAAGAATAAGGTGTAATAGGGGCACCTGCGTGGCTCAGTCGTTGGGTGTCCGACTTCGGCTCAGTTCATGATCCCGGGGTCTTGGGATTGAGCCCCGCATAGGGCTTTCTGCTCAGCGGGAAGCCTGCTTCTCCCTCTCCCACTCCCCCTGCTTGTGTTCCCTCTCTCACTGTCTCTCTCTCTGTCAAATGAATAAATAAAATCTAAAAAAAAAGTGTAATAAAAAAAATGTATGACAACCGCATGAACAGAAGAGAGAAAATGGGAATCCACTATTACAAGGTCTTTATGCTGTACATGAAGCAGGATGTTCTTTGAAGGCAAACCGGTTAAAGAGGTGTGTTGGGAATCCTAGGGGAATCACTAAAATTAGGCTCTCCACCTCTTTCTCACACTCAGCCCAAGTTTTGTACAGAGTTCCACCCCGGCTCAATGGTGGAGCATGAGACTTAGGCGAAACCAATCAGCACATAGTGGCCACAATGACTGGTTCAGGCTGAGGCAGGTGACAGAAAACCAGTGGGACATGTCAAGGCTTTTCTTTGAAATGCCAGGAAAAAGACAATTCAACTGTATTTCACAGAGTCAGATGTAGAAAGTACTTGAGACCTGGCACTGACAGAGCCCTGTTACGAACCAAGACCTGTGGGTGAACAGTCAACAGGAAGAGGTGGGCAGCTGAGAGAAGGGAGAGAGGATGCAGAAGGGCAAGAACTTGTCAGTTATGTGAGCCAATGAAGCTTTTTGCCTGGGCTTGTTTGGGCGTGTGTGATTTTCAGTCACCTGCTGTGTTACAAAATACCACAAGTTATCTTTCCCCAGCTCACGCATCGAAGTGTAGGTTAGCTGGGTCCTTTGCCCTGGGTCTCACCAGTCTGAAATCAGGCTGTCAGCCAAGACTCTGATCTCAACTGAGGCTCAGGGTCCTCTTCCAGGCTTACTGTTGGCCAAATTCAGTTCCTTGTGTAGGACTGAAGCCCTCCACACCTGGAGGCTGCTCCACATTCCCTGCCGTGTAGCCCTCTCCACAACATGGAAGTTTACTTCTTAAAGGTGAACGGGAGAATGTCTGTGCTGCTTTGAATTTGTCCTACAGGTAAGGCCTGCGCCTTCTTTTAAAGGACTTCCCTGATTTAAGTCCACCCAGACCAATTTCCCTCCTGACTACTTCAAAGTCAACTGATACAGAGATTCGTTATGTCTGCATAATCCGTTTACCTTTGCCATGTAACATAATAACAAGAGCGAAAACCCATCATATTCACAAGTTCTGCCCACACTCGAAGGGATTATACAGCCATGTACACCATGGAGTAGGAATCTTGAGGACCATTTTAGAATTCTGCCTACCACAGAGACCTGATGCCCTTTTGCCTTACCACTCAGTCATGAATCAGTTTCCGGAATTTTCCATGTTTTACTAGACTTCAAGTTTGACCTCTTTTCACTTGGCTTTACAATTGCCTGGTTACTTGTCTCTCTTCCCCCATAAGAAGGTGACAACTGAATGAGTATTCGTCATCTCCATTCCAGCTCACAACCTGGCACAGGTCTGGTGCTCCACAAACTGTTGTATGGATAAATGGAGTTGATTCTTATGTTGGGGATGAGGATTAATCTAGATGACTTCAAAGACCACATTGATTGTGAATATTCTTTAATTCCACCCTGCTGACTGCATACTGTCCAAACTTGAGCATGGTTTAAGAGGTCCTACCTGACCTGCCCCACGCACACTTCTCTGCCCTCACTACTGTCAAAGTCCCACTTTTTCATTACTGTCTGTGCTGTAAGGACACTAAATCACTTCATTTCTAGACTACGGTTTGCTTTTTCAGTTTCACAACAGTGCCTGTGCTGTGTCCTTAGCCTAGAAGGCTCTTCCCTACATCAATGGACTTAATGGTGCTACCCATCATTTCTATAAACTTAGAAATCACTACCCCAGAAAAAAATTTTAAAAATAAATAAATAAATCACTACCCCAGGACTTTTTTCTTCATCACCCTCTCCTACTTCTCTGTGTGTGGTTGGTGCCCCCCCCTTCTTCTTCCCCCTTTCCTAGAACTTGTCACCTCTTGTAAGTTGAATCCATCTCCCCTACCAACCTGAGCTGTCCTGGAGAGGGTCATTATGTTGGGTCCCAGCACTGGCCTGCTCTGGGTAAGGACCATGAATAGTTGAACAAACAAAAGGGTTCAATAATCTCTATTTTGTGATTTGGGGTCTGTCAAGATATTCATACTTCCTGGTGTCCTGGGCCCCCTGGCAAGCCAGCCTAGCAGGCCCTAGCTCACCTATAGGTTCCAAGCCCGGGCCACAGGGCAATGGGTATTGTCCATCACAACGTTCAAATGATAGGCTAGTTTCTGTTGGCCTGGGAAGGCTTTTTTAAATTCCCATCTGCCACCTAGTACTCCTTTAAAAGAGAGAGTGCATGGCGAATTATGAGGCGAAATGACTGGCATTCCTGGTCATGCTGTTCTTAGAGCTTCATGGTGATGAACTGTAATTAGACAATATGCTGTTCAGAGATGGGGTACCAGCCTAGGACAAGAACTTGTTATCTCCACTGGGACAGCTTGTTCCAGTTGCTGAGCATTTGACAGTAGCTTTTCCCTCTCCCTTTTCCCGGAGAGCTAGCCACTCCCTTGTTTTAGAGGGCGAGAGTTGACCCAAGCCTTGCAAGGACCTAGAGTTGTGATGGGGAGGAGAGCAGGTCACTGTCTCAGTACCGCAGGCAAGAATCGAGCTGTGTCCCTGTGCCCCACACTCCATCATGAATCTCAGCTTCTAGGCTTTTCCATGTTCAAAGACCTGATAAGATGGGTGCTCATTTTGGGTGAGTGGCCATTTTTGTACCACTCGAAGGGGTACGGCTCACATAACGGTCTATGTGAAAGGCATTTTCTGGCCTTGAGCAGTGCACAACCTGTGGAGCTGTATGCAATGGTTCTATTGAACCCTTAAGTCGCCAAGTATGACGACAGGAACTCGTGTGAGGAGGTGAGATGGTGGTAAAATTCTTGGTAAACAAAAATAATAGCTCATAATTGTGGAGCAGTTACTATATGCTTCTAAATGTTCTAGGCACTTTCCCAATAATTCCGTGAGTTCAGTACTTTTATCATCATCAGTATCATTTTACAGATAAGAAAAGCAAAAGAAATGGCAAAATCTGGTCCTGAACACACTTTCTCAAACGTGCCCGCCACGCTCTATAGTTCACACAGAACTCCCTGGCGCGCTGCCCGCCCTCTTCCTCTCGCCTCTTAGGGCGCCTGCGCGTGTGCCCCCGCGACCGCCTTCCGCCTGGCGCAGCGGCCGGTCACGTGCCGGCGCGGGGGCGGGGGCCCGCGCGGGACGCCTGCGCGCCTGCGCGCCGCGGGCCGACCGATTCTGCCCTGTCCGGCGGAGCCGGCTCTGGGTCCCGCGGCCATAGCCGCGTCTTCTTTCAGCTGTGCCACCAGCCGGGGCTCGGGCCCGGGCCCGGGCCCCCGGGACATGGCCCTCCGGAGTGCGCAGGGTGACGGCCCCACCTCCAGCCGCTGGAACGGTGGCGCGGAGAAGACAGGTACGGAAGCCGGCGGGGGCGCCGAGGAGCGACCTTCGGGGACGGCCCGAGGGGCAGGGGCGGCCCTGCGGGGGGTAGGCAGGGGACAGCTGTCGGAGGAGCGGCCCCGGGCGCAGGCGGCGTCCGGGGGGTGGGGGGGCCCCCGAGGGACCGCGCGGGGTGTGCCCAGCGCCGCAGGCTGAGGTCCGGACGGCGGGAGAGGAAAAGGGTGGTGGGCCCGGTCATGTCTGAAAGGGAAGCGATCCTGGAGTTGGGGAGTCAGCGGATGCTGAGACCAGAGGAGCCCTGCTGGCCGACTCGCGTGCCCCGTGCGAAGGCCTGGCGGGGGATCTGGTCCGGCTTCGTCACGTCTGGGGAGAACTGGGTCTCCCGGAGAACTGAGGCCGAGCCTCCACCCCCAGCCCGAGGCTGTCTGGCCACGTCCACACACTCCTGGTGCCTCCTCCCTAGTTGTAAGGCCCGTTTCCCAAACTTCATTCATCTCTCGCCGGCTTAATTTACGCGGTGTACGTGCTCCACTTACTTCTTTTAATTGCCATAAAAATCCAGCCTTTTAAAACGTACAGTTCACTGGTTCTTAGCACATTTACAGTGTTGTGCAATCATAGCCACTGTCTGATTCCAGAACATTTCTAATTCCAAAAAGAAACCCCCATCACTCCCCATTCTCTAGTCTCCGCAGCTCCTGGCAACCACTAATCTACTTTCTGTCTCGATGCTGTGCCACCTAATTTAACGTTACTTAATTGTGTGGAAGAAAGCGATTCTCCCAAATTTTTATAGTTTCATACTAAGCAGTAATTTCTATGAAATCATCGTTTCGTTGTGCACTGTTTTTGAATGTTTTACATACAATTAAAACACGGCACTTAGAATTATTGTTTACTCTGTACTAAGGAAAATAATCCTTTCCCTCTAAGATTAAGGTAGCTTTCCCATTTTTCTGTCCCCTGATGGGTGCTGCCCATAATAGAGCCAGCCACCTATGCAACCCACATTTTTGGTGAAGCACCTGGTGTCCACATCTTGTTTCTCTGGGCTCATTTTCTGTTATCTTCCTTTCCTCTTATTCACTCCTCATATTACTTCTTTGGGCCCTTTGGCCTTGTAACCCTTTGCTGGTGTTTTTGTATGACATCTGTCCTCATGGCATAGTGCCCCAAGCAGTATGGTTTTGTGACCTGTTGTAGTGTGGCTGTGACTAGGTTGTGAGACTTTAACCCAGTTTCCTTGGTTTTGCTTCTCTGGAAGGAATTTAGAGATGAGAGTTTTTGTTCTGCTTTTAATCATATTGGAGAATTGTTGGCAAAGTTACTAATACTGGAATCCCTCCTTTGTAGACTTTATGATCAGATTGGTTTACTCTCTAGAATATTTTTCTTTATTGCTGGGGTAAAGCAGTTTGTTTTGTTTTGTTTTGTTTTAAGTAGGCTCCACGGAGCCCAACAGGGGGCTCGAACTCACCACCCTGAGATCAAGACCTGAACTGATATCAAGAGTCGGATGCTTAACTGACTGAGCCACCCAGGTGCCCCAAGCAGTTTTTCTTAATACATGCTTGTCTTCATGTTTCAGGTAGTTAATGGATCTCTGCTAATTTGGATACTGTTTGTTGAAACTAATTAGGACTTCCAGAAACAGAGGTTACTTTGTTTTATTTTGTTTTTAGTAGGAACCTTACTTGAGTAAGGTAAGGTTTTCCTCTCCCACTGTCTTTATCTGGTACAGGTATGAAGTTTAAACATAAAATTTTAAGTTACTTTCCAGTGTCAGCATTAGAAGTTCAAGGGATGGGACAGGAAGTGTCTGGGGGAATCTGTGTCCCCTCTGGCTGGGTCTTCCATTGTTTTGATTTAGGCTGAGTGGACGTTAGTTTTACTGTTTTCCTGAGAATCCCAAGAATAGGTCTATGATTTTTCTCTTTCTGAGATGAAACTAGTTGTTCAGCTGAGACTCTACTAACCTTTTCTTCCTTGTAGTATAGGCCTACAGTTGTCCTTATCACTCTGTAATTCGTACATCTCTAGTGCACTTGAGTTTTCTGTTTTCTCCCCCTTTTTTACATCACAATGAGAGCCTATATATTAGGGGAAATAAATTTTTGTTGAAGCGGGGAATGGCACACATAGGTGTGCCTTCCTCATCTGCCACTACCATTCAATCACTAGATTGTGGGGTTGATAGTGGAGCCTAAACAGACAGCAGCTAAAGTCCACATTTGAACAGTATCCTACTTTGGGAAGTACCAGTAGCTTTAGAAAGAGGCCAAAGAGTTTACACATCTATTTAGAGTTTTGCAGTGAGCCTGTCCCTAACAGTAGTGTGGGGGAAAATAATGTCATTTACTAATAGGCCACTTTTTCCAGGAACAGTGGCCACGCTAAATTATTTCTTTTATTCTGCACATATTTGTTGAGTTCCCACAAAGTGCCAAAAATGAGAAGATAGTAGTAAATTTTGAAATGCAGGATTAAAAATAGAACAGGAGCATAGTGTTAGGAGAAATAAGTATGGGAGCTGTGGTTTGAGTTCAGAATTAGTTAAAATTCTGGCAGATTATTTGCGAAAGCCTAATGGAAATCCAGCTGATTGCAAACAGTGTTACTGTTACTAGCTAGTGATACTAGCAACAATTTTCCTTTCCCCCAGATTGCCGAATAGCTTACTTGGGAAGAGGGGTGAGGTGGATATATGTATAAACAATTTGAGGAAATATTTCCACACTCTTAGCAAGTAGGTTAATAAGATTTCTAAATGTCAGCTCACCTCAACAATATTCAGTATTATCATTCTAAGTGTTCTTAATTTGTGATGTGTAGAAAGTACAAGGACACTCTGAATTTATTTATTTATTTTTAAAGATTTTATTTATTTATTTGACAGAGAGCACAAGCAGGGGGAGCAGCAGAGGGAGAGGGAGAAGCAGGTTCCGCACTGAGCAGAGAGCCCGATGTGGGGCTCGATCCCAGGACCCTGGGATCATGACCTGAGCCGAAGGCAGACGCTTAACCAACTGAGCCACCTAGACACCCCAAAATTTAAAAATAAAAATATATATGTAAATAAAATATTTTGCTTTTTCTTTCTTTGCTGGAAATTAATCCAATTCCTGCCATATTTTGTCTCAGCCTATGTTGTTATATAAAAAGTCTTTTCTTCTACATGTCTGCAGTTCCTCTCTGAACACATACAGCCTTCTCTTCCAAAGGATGGCCTTTTGATCCAAAGTTTATTTTGTTTAATTTTATTTATTTGAGAGCGAGAAAGCGGGAGAGCGTGCGCATGAGTGGGGTGAGGGGCAGAGGGAGAGGGATAAGCAGACTCCCCATTGAGCAGGGAGCCCAACACGGGAGTCGGTCCCAGGACTCCAGGATCATGAACTGAGCCAAAGGCAGATGCTTAACTGACTGAGCCACCCAGGAGCCCCTGATCGAGTTTAAAATTCCTTCCTTGACTTCCTCTTTTTCTTTTTTTTTAATACTTTATTTTTAAGTCACCTCTACAACCAGTGTGGGACTCGAACCCACAACCCCGAGATCAGGAATCACAGGTTCCACTGACTGAGCCAGCCGGGTGCTCCACCTTGTCTTCCTCTTGAGTGCAGGATAAAACCCAAATTCTTACTGCCCGCAGTTCCTGCATCCATCCAGGTTCTGTTTTCTCTCTTTCCCTAACACTTCAGCCTCACAGAATTTTTGTTTTCTGGACGTGTTATTTCTTTCATGTGACAAGGCTTTCCACACACTCTTTCCTCTGCCTGGAATGCTTCCTTCAACACAGTCTTCCATGTGCAAAGTTTGCTTTAAGAAGAATAGGGGCAGAATAGGGGCGCCTGGGTATCGCAGTCGGTTAAGCATCTGCCTTCAGATCAGGTCATGATCCCAGGCTCCTGGGATGGAGCCCCGCGTCAGACTCCCTGCTCAGCAGGGAGCCTGCTTCTCCCTCTCCCTCCCCCTCTGCCTCTCTCTCAAATAAAATCTTAAAAAAATTTTTTTTAACTAAAAAAAGGTGGCAGGATGTATTTTAACTGAAGCCTTTCTTGATTGCCCCAGAAGTAGTCATTCTTTCCTCTGGATTTTCATAATTTTTCATGATTCTGTTATATAATAATGTGTCCCTCCCTAATGTGACTCTCTCAAAGGCTGAGGTGTCATATTCATCTTTCTGTCCCCAGTGTAGTACTTATTACGAGTAGCAGCTCATTCAATGATAGATTGATAAATGAATGGGTAGACTAATGAGCGGGTGGGTAGAAGGAAGGAAGGACACACTCAAGCCAAGAGCTTGAAGCATCTTGGGGCGCCTGGGTGGCTCATTCAGTTAAGCAGTGGACTCTTGATTTTGGCTCAGGTCGTGAGATCGAGCCCCACGTTGGGCTCCACGCTCAATTGGGAGTTCGCTTGAGATTCTTTCTCCCCACCGCCATGCACACGCTCTAAATCAATCAATCAATCTTTAAGAACTTGAAGCACGTTATAAACAAACGTTAGACTAGTTAGGTGCTATGCTAGCAGAGGGAATTGAGACCTGATTTTTCATGATCTCTAGGTAGAGTTACTATTTAATTTAGCATCCAAGCTGGGACATTTCTGAGAGTGCAGTTAGCAGGAGGGGTTTACTATGAGTAATGCCGGGACTATAGACGTAAACCAGGAATCTCTCAGACAAACTGGAACAGATGGTCACCCTACTAGGTTACCAGGGAAAATAACAGTCTAACCAGGAGAACAGGTTTACCGGGGTGAAGAGTCACCTGTGTTGTATTCCTGTCTGCACCTCCAGGTGCATGTGACTCCAAGCCAGTGATGCCTCTGTTTGTATGGTTTGTATGTCACAGCTGTCATAGGTAACCAGGATCATTAGTACCAACTTTCATGGTGTTAATAATGTGCATCTTTGTCATGGGAACAATTTGTAGACTGTTGTCTCAAAATAGGGTATTATTGAGGAAGGCTGCTTAGGGACCCTTCTAAAGCCTACTCTTCCTTCCAGTGTTACCTTCCACTTAACTGTAGGGTCTTGCGCCTTGTATATGCTACATAACTGTTTCTTACATGAGTCTGTTTACTGTTAGATGAAAGGGCCTTGTGTTTCCTGGATCCAAGCCTTTCTTTTGCTCTCTGCCCCACCCCTTGCCTCTTGAAATCCCCTCTTCCTTTAGAAATTGCACTCTTCAGTAAGGCCTTTTCAAGTTAGCCTGACCTACCACAGCCTCTTTGAGCTCTTGGTGTCTGCACATCCGTTTTGGGGGGCAATTATACTACACTGTTTTGTAACATCTCTTTGGTATTGTCCTGTTTAACTTTTATTGTGTTTGCTGTTCCTAATATTAGATACTCTGCATTGAACTGTGAAAGCACATTACCGCATTATTTTCGATAGAAAAATTACAGTAGGATACCCATCAACCACAGACTCTCAGCCAATTTCCTAAAAAGGAATTTAAACACAGTAAAATGCCAGTGTAAATCACAAACTATCACATAAGGATGTAAGATGCTTAAAACATTACTTTCTGCTCACATGCAATTAACATGGTGGTCAAGAAACAGTTGCTGTGTGTGCACGATCATGCCTCTCTTACCACCAGCCACACTGGAGACCCAAGTACACCCTTTGATATTCTGCTTTTGAAAATATCTCTATGTAGGGGTGCCTGGCTGGCTCAGTTGGTAGAGCATGCAACTCTTGATCTCTAGGTCATGAGTTCAGGCCCCACATTGGGCATGGAGCCTACTTAAAAAAAAAAAAAAAGAAAGAAAAAATATCTCTGTAATTCTGAGATGTTACCAGCTGTATTAGCATGTAACGAGAATTTTTTCTCATGTGGTTTTATTTTAAAAGTATTAAATTTTGGTGACATGTATATAAACAACAGGAAAAAATTATATAAAGACATAAGTATGTTCTGTGAAGTTATTAAAAAAGAACAAGCATTCTGTTCTATTCCAAAACATTACTAGTGTTAGAAATGCCTGAATTCACTGGGTGTTTATTCTAATGGTAGTCCCTTGCCTGTCACTTATATGGTTTATCTCCTTAGTGTTTTGCACATTATGTACTAATGACATACCTGTAGGTCAACTTCAAAAATACCTACTTGTACCTCAAACCAAATCAGGAGATTGAGCGAGCCCTGCACAGAAAATGAGCACATGCTGAATATGTGCCTGATGCCTTTCCCCCTTTGTTTTGCAGACTTTAACGCCAAAAGGAAAAAGAAAGTGGCAGAGATACACCAGGCTCTGAACAGTGACCCCACTGATGTGGCCGCCCTTAGACGCATGGCAATCAGTGAAGGAGGGCTTCTGACTGATGAGATCAGGCAGAAAGTGTGGCCCAAGCTCCTCAATGTCAACACCAATGACCCACCTCCTATATCAGGTAATGGTGGGGGGTGGTTGTGAGGGAAATCTGTCTAGGACGCAAGGATAAAAGAATTCCAGGTGGCGCCTGGGTGGCTCAGTTGGTTGGACGTCTGCTTTCGGCTCAAATCGTGGTCTCAGGGTCCTAAGATCAAGCCCCGCGTTGGGCTCCCTGCTCAGTGGGGAGCCTGCGTCTCCCTCTCCCTCTGCCACTTCCCCTGCTTGTGCTCTCTCGCTCTCTCTCACTCTCTCAAATGAATAAATAAAATCTTAAAAAAGAAAATAGAAAGAATTCCAGGATCTTTGATTTTTAGGCTCATTTTAAGCCAATAGTAGATGAGCAAATCTAAAGCATTTTAGGACATGTTTGGGCACCCCCTGAAACTGATAAGTAGAATTTTCTTCAAAAAATGAAATGAGCTTTTATTAGATTGATAGGTAGCTTTTATTGACTAGGTAGGGGAGTTTATTCTAGTTTCTATATTCACTTAGGGGTGGGTTATAGGAATCTGTATTTTAACAGACAAATGAACTCATTCCGGTGCAGATGAACTCATTTTGAGAAACACTAGGCCATGGGGAGAGAGAATACCTCTCTGGTCCTTAAGCAAAACAAAACAAAACAAAACTTTTTTATTGGGAACTACTAAGACGTTTTGAATTCTAAAGTTCTGTAACAGTGTGAAAAGCCGTTACTGTGGCAGCTGGGTGGCTCGGTCGGGTGGGTGTTCGACTCTTGATTTCAGCGCAGGTCTTGATCTCACGGTCATGGGACTGAGCCCCACGTGGGGCTCTGCGCTCCGTGGAGAGTCTGCTTGAGATTCTTTCTCCCTCACTCTCTGCCCCTCCGCCGTGTACACACGTTCACTTACGTGTTCTCTCTCTTTCTCTCTAAAATAAATACATAAATCTTGAAAAGAAAAGCTGTTACTTTACTAATTTGCAAGACCCATGAAGTAAAAGCAGTTCCTTGGAATATAGTACAAAATACAAAAAAGTACTGCACAACAGTGAATCCACTTGGTCATTCAGTCACTCAACAAACATTGATTGCTTTTCTTCTCTGTACCGCCAAAGTCCAGGTGCTAGAGATCCTTTCACTCGTGTGGCAGATATTAGCTGTGCTCCTGCTGTGTGCCAGGTGCTAGAGGCGGGTCATGCAGCCTCTGCTGATAAGCCCACGGTGCCGAGGTGCAGCCGAGTAGGTGTTAAGTTGCCACTTGTTATTATCTTTGAAACCGGCTGCCTCGGAGCAGTCAGCTTTCGGTTGGAAGGAAAAGACGTCGCCACATTCACGCTCTAAACCCTGAGAGGATGATCTTCTGTCAGATTCCAAACTATGCAGATCTTTACAAGATGAAGTCTGTGTGTAGGGAAGTGTTACACGTGCTCCTCCGGTAGCTTCGGATTGGGGCTGTGATGGAAATGCGCACTTGTTATATTACCCTCGATTGGGGTTGAGGGAGATGTGTGCTGGTTCCATTTACAACAGCTAGAGCCTGCCTCCTTACTTTCACACTGTGTTGGACTTATCAGCTGAACACAGGCTCCTATTTGCAGTGTCTTAGTTTTTAGATTTCAGGGTCAAGAGAGGTTAGGTTCTTCTTTGTGTGAGTTTATCTTAATGCTCCTTCCTGAACAGCTCAGTGCTCCCGAGGCTGCAGAGATGTCCAGGTTTTCCAGTGATCTGTGCTTTCCACATTCATGATCTTATTTGATCAGCATAGTAACATATGGAAGGAGATATCCCCATTTTACCAACGTGCATGTTGAAATTCAGAGCGGTCCCCCAGTGACATGCAGGAGCAGCCTCCAGTAGGCCCCTGGCTTCCTGACATCTCTGCTGGTCCTTCTGCCTCACCCTGAACACTGCATGTCCCTCCTCTTACGGTCACAGTGACTCGAATGAAACAGCACGTTTGGAACTAAACTGGGGATTCTTCTCCAAACGTTGTGTCTTGTGTCTTGTCCTCTTCAGGAAAAAGCTGAAGGATGTCCTCCGGGCTTCTGATGTCATACCAGAACGTTTTTGCCCCTGATCTGGCTCCCAGACGTTCCTGCAGTAACATGTTCCTTTTCCTCCCACAGGGAAGAACCTACGGCAGGGAAGCAAGGACTACCAGCAAGTGCTGCTGGACGTCAGGCGGTCTTTGCGGCGGTTCCCGCCTGGTGAGAAGCTCTCTGGGTCCCGCCACCTGGGAGTTCCCGGCCCAGCTGCTTCCAGCCCGGCCCACGGCGTGACCTCGAAGGGGCCCCTGCCTCCTCAGGAGCCCTTTGTACGCTCAGTCTGCGGAGACATTCTCTCCCCGGCTCGGTCACGTTCACACCCCCATGGCGAAAGCCTGAGCCCAGAGTAATTTCTCTTGGCCTAGAGGTGCTGAATGAAAAACTTAGAGGCTTTTCCCTGATTCAGAGCCACCGAAGAGACTTCATAGGGACCGTTGGAGCCATCGTCTGGCTTTAAAGAGCAGATAGGTTTACAAGGGGGCACTAAGAAGACGTATTCATATCTTCATTTGATTAGATGTGGATGTGAGGGCGATCTGGCTGCGACATCTGTCACCCCATTGATCACCAGGGCTGATTCAGCTGATCTGGCTGGCTAGGCGGGTGTCCCCTTCCTCCCTCCCCGCTCCATGTGCGTCCCTCCCGAAGCTGCGCGCTCGGTCGAAGGGGACGACCTTCCCCGAGAGAGGAGAGGACCGTTCTTCGGTCAGGGGTGTACGAGTAGCTGCGCTCCCTGCTAGACCCTCCAAACAAGCTCTCTTCTGATTAGATGTATAAATAGGGGTATCCTACCTGTGCCTCTGTTGGGTCCCTGGACTGGAAGGGAAGGAGGCCATTCCCTGTATGTTTTAAAGGGTCTGTTTAGAAATCGCTTCCCATTCCAGGAAGCATGAGAAGAATGACCAACTGTTGTCTCCATGTTCACAGTGAAGGAAGCTGGGCAACAGACCTCGTGTTTATGATCTATTTCTCTTCCCTTGGCAGCCTCGCCTTTGTTTAGGTCCACAAAGAAAGGAAAATTGCTAAAGGGGACAAGAACCTCTAAACCCATTGCCTCACTCTTCCGAAACCATGCTCTGGCTTGGATTTTGCCTCTTAAATCTTGCTTGCGCCCCTGCTCATGATTCCTGTGTAGCCAGTAGCCTGCCCGCTTGCTTTTGATAAAAACGTCTGCCCATGGCCCAGTCCCCTTTCCCTGTCCTGCTGGTTTGGAGGAGACCACACAGGCAGGTGCCCTCGTTTCCCCCTAGGTAACCTGCTTTTCCTCTGACCCCTTTCTGCCTCTGCCATTTATGGAATGTTGGTCTGTGAGGTTCTTTGTGTGGGCTGCACTTTCCATGTAGTTTCATATTCTTACATCCGTGTTCTTTTGAGCTCAGCTGACCTCTCTTACTCTGAAAATTCAAACAGACTTTAGTCTTGTTCTCTCACCACTTTGATTACTTTCCCTAACCATAGTAGTTACTTCATTTTCTTTTTTTTTTTTTAAAGATTTTATTTATTTATTCGAGAGAGAGAGAATGAGAGATAGCGCGAGAGGGAAGAGAGAGGGAGAAGCAGACTCCCCGCCGAGCAGGGAGCCCGATGTGGGACTCGATCCCGGGACTCCAGGACCACGACCCGAGCCGAAGGCAGTCGCCCAACCAACTGAGCCACCCAGGCTTCCACTTCATTTTCTTTTTATTGGGTCTTTTGGAATAAGCCTTTTTGAGAAGGGGTTTCCAGATATATCTTGGATCAAGATATATTCCTGTGATACTTCGTTTGGTTTAGAGGAGAACATGTAACTCTTAAATTTTTTATTTTTATATAATTTCTCATACCCATAGAAAAAGTTGCAAAAACAGGACAGATAATTCCCCAGATGCCTTTTACGCAGATTTCCTACATTATATGTTAATGTTTTACTATATTTGCTTTAGTATTGCTTTGTCTCTCTCCTACACACACACACACACGCTTTTTTTTCTGAATTATTTAAGAATCAATACAGACATGGTGTCCCTTTACCCCTAAATATTTCAGGGTGTGGTTCCTAAAAACAAGGCTCTTACATAATCACACAGCACTCAAGAAATCAGCAACACACTGAAAACTAGTGCTACTAACGTGGAGATTTTATTCAGGTCTCACCCTTCAACGGCAGTAACGTCCTTTAAAGGAAAAGGCAATGTGAATGCAAGCAGTTCCCATTCAGTCATCCTACCTCATTAGCCTCCTCGACCCTGGAGTAGTTCCTTTGTGTTTTATGACTCAGTTATTTTTATAAAATTCCCCTTGCTTTGGGTTGCCGAGCTCCTGGAGACGCTCCCAGCAGCGACCCCGGTGCACTTCCCGGCTGCTGCAGGCGTGCGGGTCACGGCTGTCCTGCCCCCGGCAGTGTCAGCTGTGGTGACTGGGCTGAGAAGGGGTCGGCGGCCCCCTCCGCCCCGCCCCGCCGTAAGGCTGCTGCTCCGTGGCTCCTTCCTGTGTGCCGAGTAGTATTGCTGTGGGGATTTTAATGCGTGTTGCCAAACTGTTCATAACTTATTCTTTCTGTTAAACACTTGGCAAATCTTTTGCTGACCGTCTTCGCCCCTCCTTGTTAGCAGGCTGCTCAGTGTGTTCAGGGGCATCTCCCCTCGTCTCCCCTCCCCAGGCATGCCGGAGAAACAGAGAGAGGGGCTCCAGGAAGAGCTGATCGACATCATCCTCCTCATCTTGGAGCGGAACCCTCAGCTGCACTACTACCAGGGTTACCACGACATCGTGGTCACGTTTCTGCTGGTGGTAGGCGAGAAGCTGACCCCGTCCCTGGTAGAAAAATTGTCTACCCACCACCTCAGGTACCAGCGCAGAGGAGTACAAGAGGATGTGGGATCCCTCCTCAAGCCCCCCTGGGGACCACTCCTCGGCCCATTTGGTAGTCTCTTTCCAGTGGTGGGAACCCTGTTCTACCCCCTCGGCCCTGATCTGAGCATTTGGTCTGACCGAGCTTATTGAATTGTCTCCGTCCAGGGATTTCATGGATCCAACAATGGACAACACCAAGCATATATTAAACTATCTGATGCCCATCATTGACCAGGTGAATCCAGAGCTCCATGACTTCATGCAGAGGTATGTATGCGTTTCCATTTACGTACATGCTTGCGCACGCACACCCACACCCCTTTGACTTTCTCCTGGCCCTGGTCTCTTCCTCACAAGTCCAGCTCAATTGCATCACCATTGTATGTTGACAGGCGTTAAGTTTTTCCAGATTGTCCTTTCTGTTCGCCAGCGAGCTGGATAATTCAGTTCTGTACAGTCTGGGAGCACTTTTTTGGGTACTGTGCTCTTGTGGGGATACGAGAGATGTACAGCACATGCCCTTGAGGAGGTTACATCTGGTGGGGAGGGCTGGGGAGGTGAGTATGCCGAGGTGGACTTTGAGGTTATTGCTTCAGGAAAAGGACATACTACTGTAGAATCCCGAATCGAGAAGGACAAGGCCATCCGTGGGTTGTTTTATTCTCCAGGTTCCAAGGAGAAGAAATATTTCTTTGCAAATCTTAAATGATTTTTTTTTCTCTTCTGTGTAATTGGAAATGAGTCCTTGGGCCAACACCTCACCCCCCCCTTTTTTTTTTAATGTCTGTGTCTTAAGATGTTTCAATCATTCTCACGTTAACTGAACAATTAATACAGTTGTGTCTTTAAGCCTGAGAATATGTGCAAACCATGGTATCGTTCTGTGAAAACAGCTACTTCTTCTTCCTGTTATCGACACTGGTTAGCCATTAGGACAGCAGCCAGCGAGATAAGGCAACCAGGACCCCATCATAGTATTAGTGTCATGATGGTGGGTATGTTTTAAGGATTTTGTATTCGGTGAGAAGATGCTGAATTCGTAGGGGGCTGAATTTTCCAGAGAGTGTATCTCCCAAATTCTTCTTTCTTAATAAGCACCAAGGACAAAGATGTCCCAGGGAGCGGAGAGGGACAGCCTGTCAGGGAACCTAACGTCTGGATTTCCTTGCTCCTAGTGCCGAGGTGGGAACCATCTTTGCCCTCAGCTGGCTCATCACCTGGTTTGGGCATGTCCTGTCTGACTTCAGGCACGTCGTGCGGTTATACGACTTCTTCCTGGCCTGCCACCCGCTGATGCCCATTTACTTTGCAGCCGTGGTAGGTACAGGCCACAAGCCAGCAGCTAGGTTCCCCATCACCCATTCCAACTCGATCGTTTTCCCTCAAGGGAGACCAGGTGATTTTGGAAAGATGGGAAAGAGCATTTCCCAGACTGGTGCCCCTGGACGCCGCTCTGTGCAGTGTGAATGGGAGTGTTACGGGGAAAGAAAAGGCTCTGTGTAAAAATAGGATTGGGAAATGCTTGGTTAAACCAAGTTAAAGAGATCTGTTTCCTGCATGATTCTTCTGAACCTTTAAAATGCTCCTGTGCATAATGAATTGTCCATGTTCCTCTTGACATCCCCCGGAACTAGTGTAGACTGCCAGCTCCAGGCCAGGGAGGGAGGGGGTGCAGTACGACGACAGGGGGGACACTGGCAGGGCTTGATGGGGTTCCCGTTCCATGGAGGTGCCTTCACTGCTCTTGAAAGGGGAGCAAGACTGTTCTTTCTACTGCTTTGAACCATTTTTTTCTGTGTGGGAGCTCCAGGAGTCTCCCTGTGAGCCCTTTTCTTTTCTTCCTCCTAAAAGAACCTCCTTCATTTCGTTGGTCGGCCTTCCGCATCCTGGGATGGAAGTCTGCCTGTAGCAGGAAGGGCCAACCCCCTGGGAAAAGCCCCCTGGGAAAAGCATACATACGTTATTCCTTCCTAGATGGATACAAGAGTCTGCTGTCTGGGGCGCCTGGGTGGCTCAGTTGGTTAAGCGACTGCCTTCGGCTCAGGTCATGATCCTGGAGTGTCGGGATCAAGTCCCGCATCGGGCTCCCTGCTCAGCGGGGAGTCTGCTTCTCCCTCTGACCCTCTTCCCTCTCATGCTCTCTATCTCTCATTCTCTCCCTCTCAAATAAATAAATTAAAAAAAAAAAAAGAGTCTGCTGTCTGTTAACGATTTAAATTCATCTCTAAGGAGAATGACATGCAAGTGGCGAAGGCCCTGCTTGTCCCGGTCTCTGATGCAAGGTCTTGCTCCTCACAGATCGTGTTGTATCGAGAGCAGGAAGTCCTGGATTGTGACTGTGACATGGCCTCGGTCCACCACCTGTTGTCCCAGATCCCTCAGGACCTGCCCTATGAGACCCTGATCAGCAGAGCTGGAGACCTGTTTGTTCAGTTTCCCCCGTCCGAACTTGCTCGGGAGGCATCTGCCCAACAGCAGGCCGAGAAGTGAGTGAGGCGGAGGCTCTGGTTGAACTGGGGGTGTCTGTGGGTGAGCAGAAGTGGTGGAAGATTGTGTCTGCCGGGCGCCGGGCTGGGGGATGTTTCCAGAGATCTAAGCTCCAGCCAGCGGAATCCCTACCTCGGTCTTCACGGGTCTTTATCCAGAAGAGTCTTGTGAGCAGTGGACGGCTCTGCCCTCAGCCTCTGTGATAATCCCGTTTTTCTTTCTGTCTCTTCTTTCATAGCATTTCCTCCTTCTGTCTCCTCCCCCTCTGCAGGACAGCCGCCTCTACCTTCAAAGACTTTGAGCTGGCATCAGCCCAGCAGAGGCCTGACATGGTGCTGCGGCAGCGGTTTCGGGGATTCCTGCGACCTGAGGATCGAACGAAAGACGTCCTGACCAAACCAAGGACCAACCGCTTTGTGAAGCTGGCGGTGATGGGGCTGACGGTGGCACTTGGAGCGGCCGCCCTGGCTGTGGTGAAAAGTGCCCTGGAGTGGGCCCCCAAGTTCCAGCTGCAGCTGTTCCCCTAAATGCCAGGGAGGGCGCTCCCTCCTCCGTTACGTTGAGGTTTCACCCTTCCATGGAAGGATTGGGAGGGGGTGGAATTTCCTTTATTAAAAGGGTTTCTGTCAAGGGTTTTCTATTCCTGCCAGGCCCCCACCCTGCCTGCCCGTGGTTCGCCTTCGCTTCGGAGCCCGCTGGCGCCTGAGAGCTGCGCTCGGAGGCCGAGCCGGGCCGCGGGCCTCCTCCCCCCGCCCCACCGCCCTGCCTCTGCGCTCCCCGCTGCCGCCTCTTGCGGTGGGCACCAGGGGTTTCTTGAGCTGCCCGTGGCCCTGGGAACCCGCCGGGCCTGGTTACTGGGGACCTTCTTAGCTGCCCCGTAGCAAGTAAGCTGGGCCACCGAGGGCCCTCCTCGCGGCGCCTCCTGTTCCGTCTGCTGCCACTGGCCCGAGGAGGAAGGAGCTGCTGCTGTGGGAGTTAGACCTTGGAACCGAGGCGAGGGACAGAGGCTGCTAGCCAGGTGCAGGATCGGCCCCTCTCGAGAGCGGCTCCGTTAGCTGGTCAGAAATCAGACAGACGTGAAGTAGGTTACTAGGTAAATCCTACCTATTTTCAGCCTAGAAATCACTTGGGCATTTCCAGTCAAACAGGAAGGAATGTGAGGTTGTAGGGCCCAGATGTAACCTGGTTTTGCCTGCCTTCTTTTTCCTCCCTGTTCTCTCACAAGCCACATGATGTTGCTTTTAAAGGACACTTTTATTACTCTTTTTAGAATTACATATACACCCACCATGTAAAGTACCCTCACTCTAAAAATGATAGTTCCTTCACGGGAAAAACGGTCCTCATCAGCAAGATGAGCTTCTAAGACCCTGAAGTTTCCTTTCTCCTCAACTGTTGAATGTCTCACTTGAGCTAGAGCTGCTGTGTGTTTACAGCCCCACACTTCCAGAGCGCCCACGGGCCTGCTCTCCTTCCTTCCTCTTCTCCTCAGACCACTGTTCTCCTCCCAAGTAGGCACCCACTCACTCCTACCTTGGCTTCGTTTGGGGGATTCAGTTTATCTCCTCAACTGCTGGTCTCTCCTTCCTGGTTGGAAATGTCATTGGAGACTTGTCAGCAACCAGAAGGAACACACCAGCCTGAAGAGTATGGGAGAAGCTGAGAACAGCCAGCTCCTGCCCCAAGCTTCTGGAGGACTCTCCAGGCCTTCGGGGACAAGACGGATCATTCAGTCCTTCTGGACCACTTTTCTTGTAAGCGAAACCAAGTTGGTTTGAGATTAACTCTGGCTTGAAAAAAAAGTGCCTTTTGCTGCTTTAAAGAATTGAGGTGTAGAGTATGAAGCAGCCATGTACTTTCATTTTCCTGTCTCTTGGGCACTGTTCTCTTGGCAGGTGTTTTCTTAAAGTGAACGTGCCAGAAGTCCTGTCCCTTAGCATACCGAGACGGCAGAGTGGGGGGCACTTCATACGCCAGGCAGCCGGCAGGCAGGCCCAGGGCAGTGAGGGGTGTCTACGGCGAGTCACGTGAAGTGACACTAAGCACTTTAAAACAAAAGGTTAAAGTGATGGGTCATTCTCTGTAGCAGGAGTCCCACTTGGGGTAAGTGTAATGTGGATGGATTAGTCTAGACAGTGATGGAGACATGAAGACAAAGGAAATTCTTCCAGGACCCGGTCCCAGGCTTCTCCCCCGGCAAGCTTGTCCCCTTACCGCCTTTACAGATGCACGGCTCCCCTGCCACAGCACTGGGGCCTGTCTGTAAATACTGAAGGAATTGATGGGCAAGAGGGACGGAGGGGCATAGGATCACAGGCTTCGGATCCCAGAAAGGGAGTGGTACAGGCTTCTGTTGGAGCCTTAGGAGGGGGTTCATTTGGTTTATAGCTTTGCTGACATTGGGATTCTCCCTGCCGACGAGAAGAAAGCATTATCCTTTTACCTTCAGGTGGTTTACTATTCTGTAAAGAATATGTGTAAATAGTTTGTACAGAACCCTGTATAAAATAAACAGCCATATGTGGTTACTAGTCAGTCTCCTGACATTCTGTCCTGTGCTCCCTCACGTCCCGCTCCTGGCCTGGGACTGTGCTGGAGTCTAGGGACTCTTGGGTGGCCTTGACTTAACGTGGAGAGCTTGGGGAACACCTGCAGTCCTGATTCTACTTCACCTGCAAGAGGTACGACCTACCCACTCCAGGTGCTGCCTGGGGGCACTGGCCCCAGTTAGGCAGTGCAAGTGACGTGGGACATTGGTCCAGGGGGATCTTGCCTGTTTTCCGCATACTTCTGGGGATGCCTTAGGCTCTAAAGGCAGACATTTGGTTTGGGAACCAAATCAGAGTCTGATGTGAAGGCAACTTTATCTCCACATGTAATTCCCATCCCCAGAGGAGCTGCTGAGAGCGGTTCTTGCCAAGCTCTTCCCACACCTCTTAACACTGCCAGCCATTGGGTAGTGGGAACCCAGAGCAGTGCCTTGAGCATGGGGCCATCTTGGAGGCAAGAATCCATGTTGTCTGGGACATGTTTTGATGCTTCCCTGGCCCAGAGTGGGGGTGTGAGGGCGCCCAAGCCGGACAGCCATCACTCAGCTCTTGGACCGTGTCCCACCACCCTAGGCCAGCCCCCCCCCCCCCCAGCCACCGTGCTGCCCCCTGGCCTGACACTCATGGAGTCCACAGGGCTGGCCAGGACACCGCCCTGCTTCCGGGAGCTCACACACCAGACAGTTTTGCATTGAACAAGCAGGTTGCTCTGAGTGGCAAATTTTGTCAAGTTGATGGTTGACTATGGAGAAGGGTTTTGGTAATTAGAATGTTGAAGGAAGTACATGTGTGATATGATAAATACTTGGGTTTTGTCCCCAGTTCCCCTAACAGCCTGGGAATTTCCGGATGGGAGTGTCTTTGGTTGTTCACAATGATTCCCTTTTGATTCCAGGTGAGTTTATGCTAATGAGGTGACAAGGTAGGGCCACTGGAGAGTTCCGGGAATGGGCAGGTCAGCAGAAAGACCAAGTGATTGGAGGGTGGGACTTCCGGCCCCTCCCAGACCCCCGGGGAGGGGAGGGGATCCTGGGGAGCCATGGCTACACAACACAAACTCTGGATCAGAGATCTCACAAAGCTTCTGGGTGAACACCTCAAGGTGCTGGGAGGGTAATGCTCCCAGAGGGGGCTTGGGGGCACCGCACCTCCCTCCGCCACGTCTTGCCCTATGCATCCCTTTCATATTACTGTTTGCAGAGTTGTATCCTTTATAGTAAATCCGTAAACGTGAGTGAAGTTGTTCTGAGTTCTGTGAGCCCTTCTAGCCAAGTATTGAACCTGAGGGGGTGTCGTGGAAACCCCTGAATTTGTGGTTGGCCGGGCAGAAATGTGGGCAGCCCGGACACCCCAATTTGTGGCTGGCATCTGAGGGGGGGCAGGCTCGTGGAACTGAGCCCTTTAACCTGTGGGGTCTGATGCTACTTCCCGGTAGTTATGTCAGAATCGAGTTGAATTGTTGGGCCGGGAGCTGTTGGAGAATTGGGGCAATGGGGTCAGAAAATGCCACACGATACGCAAGGTGGAGGGGAAATTGTGTGAAAAGAGCTGAATAAAAAGTGCGCCCATCTCGTAGACAAACGGAGTGGGTTGTGCCAGCGCGAGGGGACCTGCGGTTGAGGCCCTGGAGAAGGGGGTTGGGACTCTCTCGGGGGCAATCTGGGGGGCCGGGGTGGCAGGACGGCCAGTGTCACTTCCGGGCGCTGTGGGCGTCTGCGAGTGCGAATCGGGCCTCCCACGCGGGCTGCGGCGGGGGGAATGGCCAGCAAACCGCGCGCTGGCGTGAGCGCTTCACCTACGCGGCGGTGAACGTGGACGCGCCCTCCAGGCTTCCAGCCAGCCCCGCGCCAC